ATAGTCCCGTAAGGCTGGATCAAGAGCATGTCAATCACAACAAACATCCAACTACTTCGGACCGGTATAGTATAAGCAGTCTGACTGCGCATCAATCGTTCTATAGATAGCCAAAAACTGTTCTGAGTTCGAGCACTTATAACCGCATGCCGGACGCCACGCCTGCAAAGGCTCCACGCATCACCTGGCCAAATTCCATCACGCATGGATGCAACTTGAACGAACTAGTTGGATTACACTGCCATGCAGTGCGAGCAATGCCCTGCACATGGCGTGCAAGCACAAGCACTCATGCTACGCGTTTATGGCCAAACCTCACGACACAAACACAGATGCCCCTATATTTGGCACAAACTCACGAGTCTCACGCAATGCAAGCATTTTCCACTTCACTCCTTGAAGCCACGTGCAATGGCCTCACACTTCATGCGAAAACGCTCACCTGATTTCAGGTGAACGTAGTGTTTGTCTTTCTGGCCAGTAGGGCGGGTCACCGTGTGTATTTCCCACGGTTGTCCTTCGCACTTCTCCACTGAAACTGGATTCTTTGCAGCGCTCTTTTCCTTTGGTTTTGGCTCAGTCTTTGGCTTTTTTTTTGGCTCAGCTTTTGCCTTCTTCGTAGCCGGACGCTTCAGCGCACGCTCCTCTTGAGCTTCCTCTAGCAACGCCGCCTGTTCTTCTGGGGTCATGTCATGAATCGGAGGTTTCACCAATGGGGAACCATTTGGAGTGGAAGCACTAGCATTCTCAAGCTGCTTTGGAAGCAGTGGGGAGGTCTTCTCCTCACATAACTCTTTTGCAGCGGCCTTTTGAGAGCTGGATGGTGGTGACATATTGGATGGCGGTGACAAGGCTGGAGTCTTTGTTTCAGGCGGCGATTCCACATGAGCTGATGACGATGAAGTCCCTCCAGAGCCACCCCCTTGGAAGAAACCCATTTGCTGCATCATGCTGGCAAACTGCAGCATCTGCTGCATCATTGGTGGCATGGACTGCTGAGCCTGCTTGGCGGCTGCTTTTGCCGGGACCAATTGTTGGTCAAGCGGTTCACCATCTTTCTGCAACTCGGCTTTGTACAAGCCGTGGCTCTTCCGACAAACCATTTGTTGATGAACTTGCAACAACTTCGTTTCGTCAAGCCGGACAGGCGGGTCACCCTCAAACGCCGTCTCATACACGTTCAGCTCCTTGGGGTCCAATGGAAACTGAACGACCCATGGCCTTGGCCCTGTCATGCCCTGCGACCTCTTGCGGAGGATCTTCTTGAACTCGTGGACGACCGCAAGCATGCTCTTCGCGCACTTCAAATCTACCTGCATTCCAACTGTTGCCGCCGCACTGATTGCAGCTTTGATGGTTGGTTCCTCATTTCTCAACGCAATACATTAACAATTGACATAATTGATCAAGGTCAGCAACACAACCAGAACAAATCATACAAAGAGATATATGTGCGTGTGTAAAGGCAATGCAATTGTGAATGCAAGGAACAGATGGCAAGAGCAATCCAATCTTGATACACCGGCTAACAAGCGTGTCCAGCTTCACAGAGATGTCCTTCTCTGCATCCTCAAAGGTCTCCACGTCTGTCTTGGACATATAGCCAGCAAAGGACGCCAGGTGCTGAGTGGCCCGACGAGTATTGGATCCACTGCTCACACGCACCAGCGAGGACGAAATTGCCGAGCACAGTGCTTTGGCCTGATGGGGTGTTGTTCTCATATGAAAGTTGCATGCGTGCAGGAAAGGTTGATGGGTTCTTTTTGGATCTATATATGGGTTATATGCAGGTGTGCTGCACCCTTCGCCTCATCTGCCGTCCAGGGCCCATGCTTGATAGCGTCAGTGAGTGCAGTCGCCTCATCTGTTTCCAGCGTGGCTAGCGCCTCGATCCTGGTCTTCAACCCGCTAAACTGGGCGCTCTGCACGTTCTTCATCAGCGCTTCATCGAGCACGGCCATCTGCGATCGCAAGAATGTGTGCATGGAACCGATGTCCTTTCTTAACGCGTCAGCCATGGCGGGTAAAAACCCTGCCACCTGCGGGCTTTCGTAAGCCCTGCAAGTCACTTGGTCAGTGCTTGAATCATGGAAAACTGCTAGTGAACCGTGAAATCAACACATAAGAGCGTCAAACCTTTGCCATAGTGACATGAAATCACGAGCAATCATGGCAAGAACAAAACCTGGCATGTTGCACATCAACAACTTATGCCACAGGCGTGGAAAGGGAGTGAAACTATGAAAGGCCAAGCGTATTCCAAACATGCTGCCGAGATATTCGGTTTTTCACCCTCTCGAACACCTGTGCCAGTCTTTCAAGCTAGCCTTTGTAGTGGAAAATTCAAAGGCCTCGCAGCCACTTCAAAATCAAGCTCTACAGCGCACCAGCTCTAAACACCTTGCTGCATCGCTAGCAGTCTAAGGGCTAAGTGATGGCACTTCATGCAACGTCTTGCCATCCTCTTCACTGAGGGTGTCCGGATCATGCCTCTTGCGCTTCTTTGGAGTCTCCTTGAAGAGCTTTGCGTGGCCTGGAGCCTGAGACACATCACGGATCGTGCACTGGCGTGAGATGCCGGTGCCCTTCGCATAGGGTAAGATCTTCTCCACCAAGTCCACGTAGGCGGTTGCGAAGCGTACACTTTCCTCAAGCACTGCGTCAGTTCCAACGTTGGGGGGAACACTTTACATAGCCTATATACACGCAGCAACAAGATAGAAAAAACACACAAGCCGGAACGTGTCAAGACTCATGCGCATAGTAGAACTTCGTGCAAATGTGGGACCTGAAAATGCATACCGCCATTTGACCGCTACGACGCTCCCATCATCACGCCACACCAGTTCATGGTCTACGGTGATGACGCCGGGGCGCACCCGCCTGATGAGACGGTCCTGCAACTTGTTCAGGCAGTGTCTATAGCGCAATGTCCCTCCTTCGACCTCATCCACGAAGTTGAACTTGTGCGGGTTGCCGGCGCTCATCCATATCGACTGACGCAGCTCCAAAGCGTCGTTGTGTCCCGGCCAAAGCGGACGCCATGCGGAAGCCATGGGCTCAATCTCTGTTTCGTTGACCGGGGCCACCTCCCATGCATTGCGAGGATTGACGTTCATGATCTGCTCGATGAAGATGGATGAACGCGTTCGAGATCAGCCGACTTGGGCGCGTGCGACTTGGGCCGACGATGAGCTGCTGGTGAACGCGAGCTATAATGCCCTGCATTCGGCGAGCCGAGCTCTGCCACCAGCAAGTTCATTGAAGCTGTCATTACATAAGACGTCACAATGCGCAACACACAGAATCGATACAACTCTGTCAGCCGAGCTATATTGTTACTTCATCATTGCAGTGTGGGCAGAAACTTGACAAGCACACCTTCAGAACTATATAATAGAGATTGCATGAGATTACAGTAGCACTGGCTTTGAAAGTTCAAGAGGTCAACCTATGCTCAACACAAAGGCAAGGAGCACTGTTTGCGTCGGCTTCTCTTCAGGTTTGCAGCTTGAAGATCTAATTTGCAAACACAGCCGCCTGCTATTCAGGCTGTGTTCAAACCACGTAATTAATCGAAGAATTGTGCATTCATCCTTCGGAACTGGAATCAGTCGAAGAACCTTGCTTTCAGCCTTCGGAACGGTGGCGGCACGTCTTCAGGAGGAGTTTCTACAGGAGGATACCCCATCTCTGTCAGCACGACCTCAACCTCTCTCGCCAACCGTTGGGCTGATGGCCACACCTTTTACAAGAATTATTACTTGTTTAAAGCGCTTAAACGAACGCAGAGATACTATGAGATATATATAAGTAACATACAAAGTGATGCTGGCACAAAATAGCAAACCAGGACAAATGGTAAACTCCACCTCTAGCAAAGCGCTGATGCGTCGAGCTCCCGGTAGAAACGAAATAGTTTCGCAACAGGGAAACTCATGGCGCGCACGTGCTTTGCCTCAAAGTGCCTCTTGCCTGTGAAGTCCTTCTCTACCACAATCGTTCGCTTCATGGTGGACAAACAGGACGTGCGCTTGGAAGCGCGCTCAGGATGCGCGCTCTGTGGGCCAAAGCTACATCACACCACAACCAATGACTAACAGTGCTCCTTTCCTTTTGTGTTGGGCATGGTTTACTCTCTTCAGCTTTAACTGTAAAAGCTACACATGGCCCTGCGTATAGGTGGCGAGCCACCGCCCTGCCGTGCCTCCAGTGCGCGGGCTTTCGAACGCTCCAATGTGCCCCAAACACCTCAGCAACCAAGGAGCTCAAAGCCTTTGGCACAACAGAAGAATATACAAGCAACAAGAGTGACTGTCACTGGGTATACTATTTGTTCACGCCAACGTTGTGTATATTCACACTCGTCATCACCACAAAACGCATGTTCCAAACATATGTAAAGATGCAACGAGTAAATGCAAGGCTATCTGAAGGCCACGCCGCTCTATGCCACACAGTCAACATCCTGCAAAGGAGAGCGTGCTCAACTCTTGGCGTGAACTATGCATCATGAGCTAACTGTGAACAATGCCTCATGATTGTTGCACTCTTCTGTCATGTCTTCAAAGCATGTACTGTACTGTTGAAACTCCTTTGGAAGGAAGCATGGGAGACTGACAACAACGTTTCGTGAACAACAGTGAACCTTGGTGCGAGCACACTCGCCCTGCACAATGGCGAGCAGGTGTTTCACCTGCCCTGCCAGGCCTCCAGTGAAGGCCTCCTCCATCAGACTGCCTGTGTACGGGGCATTGCGACGAAAGGCAACTGAGGCCGACAGAACCCATAAATTATAGATGTGATATAACACCAACACAGACAGACGTGTCAGTCCAACAAATCGAAGGGTTATGAATCAACATCCAAATCTACACGCCACCAACTCCAACAAACAAATGGACTCTCGCCTTGAAGATGCTATCAGAACAAAACGTCACACGACATAAGAACTGCCCATGGTGAAGCCTATATGCACTGTATACATGGGTGTATGTAGCAATAGCCACACTGTTCCAGTTAAACCACATGATTCCCAGGATGGTGTTTGCACAGGGTTCCAACGAAACCAAAAACGTTCTGAAACACTGACACTCCGAAGCCATACGCAAACATCCAACCCCTTTCAAACAGACGTGTGCCTATCCCACATAGGTTCCACCCTCCTCCCAAACCCTTCTCTCCCAAGGCACCATTTTTGCACACTCGATCGAACGCAACCCTCAACTCTTCATTTGAAGAGGAGCTCATGCATAGAAAGGCCATAGAGAGGTACCTTTGGACAGGTCAGCTCCCAGTGCGTGCCACATGCACCCTTTTTGACAAGATTGATGTTTGCGTGAGTAGTGTGTTTCACCAAGGTGTGAGTTCTTGAGGTCTTGTGGTTTTCATTATAAACTGGTGCGGGATCTGGTCTGCTGACCTGTAAGATTCCAATTGTTTTATGATGTCAAAGCCTCAGCCAGGCTTTGCACAAGCCTTGTGAAACACGTCATCACTTCTTGCCCTTCTTGCCCTTTCTTCCCTTGCCCTTGCCTTTGCCTTTCGCATCATCAGTTTCGCTCACGCCCTTGCCATGCGAAGATGCTGACGACGTGTGGGCAGCAGCTCCGCCAAGAACAAGATGGCCAGAAAGCTGCACAGCTGTTCTAAGAGCGGAATGGTCAGCATCTCGTTCTTCTTGCAGTCGGTGCAGGTTCTGCTTCATTTTTTCTGCATACCCCCCGCGGTTCCGGGGACGTTTGTGTCCAGCGCCAGGCCTTACTTGCAAGGTGTTGCAAACAGAGTGAAGCCATGGACTACTGGGTTTGCATCCCTCAACCCAAAGGTGCATGTCCCAAGCATAAGGTTTCATGACGCATGTCCCAAACATGACAACAACAACGTGCATACAAATCATGTGCAAGGCTCGGCGAGTACTGTCCATTTGGCAGGACATAGCCATGTCCACCCTGCACGTAGCGTCCCTGTCCACGAGTGGATGAACTGGCCGATGCTGCGCCACCGTGGCCACGGTCTGAAGAACTGGTGGACCTGCATGAACCTTCTGCTGATGAAGATCTCTTCCAAGGAGGCATGCGCGGCTGTCCAGCGCGTGGCGGCGGCGGTGGAGGGATTGCAGGCACCGCCACCGGCTTGGGTGGCGGCGGGGGTGGAATCCTCCTCACCCTAACCGCTGGCGGTGGAGCCGGTGGCCAGTCTGCCATTTTTGCAACAACTGGCTGAGGTGGCCGCTGTTTGGCCTTGATTGGCGCCGCCGGTTTGGCGCTCTCTGCCAGCTCCTCTTCCTCGCTGTTCTCGACGTACTCCTCAG